TATTATAATAAGAATGATTGATTCCTGTAATGTTCTCTCGGCGTCGGTTCACAGGCTGACCCGGTGCAATACAGTCTCATTATTGTACACATTATTTGACGATTTCCATCTCCCTAACCCCACCTTCTGTGTCCCATCTCTCACCTCTTGTTCCCCATGTACCGTATCCAAGCTACCACGTCCCATATTATATTAGACTAGCTGGGCCCCCTTTCGATGAAAGGAATGATGGGTGCATTAACATCAACTGAAAGTCATTGGCCTAGTATAAGTACACTCTACTGGAATGGAACAATAAATCTTGAGAGATGCAAAAAATTAGGTCTAGATCTAGATCTAGTTCTATACTCTCAAAACAAAATGCGCCTCGCGAAATATCACTTCCGCATCGGATTTTTCTAAAATTACAGAGACAGAAGCGTCGCCTACAAAAGAGGTCAGCGAAATAAAGAAATTTAGCTTTTTGCAGCAAAACTGTCTCCAAACTGAAAAAACAAAGGGCGTCATGATCTGGAAAATATTTTAAAGAATCTTTTGGCGAAAACCGCATGTCGATCGATGCAGCCATTAAAAAGCCTTTTGAATAGCAAAATTCGGCCACCACAAATAGATAATAGATAATTATGCTGACTTTAATTCAGTTGGTAAGCGCGCTTCGTTTTCCTGCATCTCATTGGATGGAACGCTTGAAGTAGGACAAACAACTATATTATATACATCACTGTCGTCAAAGTCCACATCAGATGTGATGTTCAAGCAGGTGGTTTCAAAAGCTTGATTTCATACTACTTTATTGGGAATGAAGGTTTGGTCTCCATGAGATTTCTTTGATGTATCCTCTTCGGAAGCGAATTTATTTTTAACTTTCCCTAAATGTACAATTCGTCCAGCCCGACTACAGAGATCCATAATAATATTACGATGTCAATTTGGTCAGATCATTGCAGTCAGAGTCAAACTTTCGTGTTAGAAATGTAACAATCTGACAACTGACAAGACTATATAAAAAGCACTCATTCTCTCTCTCGCTCTCTCTCTCTCTCTCTCTCTCTCTCTCTC